TTTTCTAAAGTTATTTTTATTTACCCTTCTGATTTTCTAAATAAAATTATCCTGCTTCTACTCCAGCATTTGGAAAGCTCCACTTTAGAACTATAATTATGGTTAAATGCTATATGTCCCACCTCATTGCATCTTATTATACATTATTATTTACAGCTAACAGTGATTTTGATATAATGGTCTTGTTGAATCAAAAGCATTAAGGTGGTTTGACGTCATCTGATAAGACCACCTCTGTTATTTATGCAGAATTATAAAGCTCTGCCCCTCAGCTCCATGTTTTGGTCTATGATAGGATAAGCCATCCTAGGTTACAGGTTGGTGTGTGCACGTGTGCGCCTCTTATTTTCACTAGATGAGTGACTGTGTCTATACAATGTTGTTGTGTTTGCTTTTTATGGGAGCCCTCGGAGCAGAGGAAGACACTTTGCTCTGTGAGATGCTGGGGAGCCCGGAGTTTCCTCTGTTGTTGAAGAAAGGAGATCTCACTATCGGCGGGGCTTTCTCAATCCACAGTCAAATCTCAAATCCTCCTCTCTCCTTCACAGACGCTCCACAGCCTCTCAAATGTTCCAGGTACTATTTGATGACTCCTTCCTCATTTGGTTGTTTTTAAAGAGAAGAGAAAATCACATGAAGAAAACATGTTTCCTTTCCCTTTTTTTTTAGGATAAACTTCAGAGAATTTCGTTTTGCCCAAACTATGATTTTTGCCATTGAGGAGATCAACAACAGCAGCTCTCTACTGCCTAATATCTCAATTGGTTATAAGGTATTTGACAGCTGTGGGTCAACGCTGCCCTCAACTCGTGCAGTGATGGGTCTGATGAATGGGGAGGAGAGGACTTTGGGAAAAAGCTGCTCCAGCCAGGCATCTGTTCACGCCATCATCGGAGCCTCTGAGTCGTCCTCGACTATTGTGATGCTACAAATGGCGGGGATTTTCCAGATACCAGTTGTAAATATTTTCCACATTTCTATCAAAATAATTTCTGTGAGCTGTACTTTCAACAAAGGCTGAAATCTGCTGATATTATGGATACATTCCAATTTGGGATAAAGGCTTTTTGTCTTTCATTTTAAATAACCTCTGAAATGCCGTTCGTGTATTTTTTCCATCCCTCCTTTTTTTTCTATTAGATCAGCCACTTTGCCACATGCGCTTGTCTGAGTAACAGAAAGGAGTACCCCTCCTTTTTCCGCACCATCCCCAGTGACTACTTCCAGAGCAGAGCCCTGGCACAACTGGTAAAGCACCTTGGCTGGACATGGGTTGGGGCAGTTAGAAGTGACAACGACTATGGTAACAATGGTATGGCGACATTTATCGCAGCTGCAGGTCAGGAAGGAGTTTGTGTTGAGTACTCTGAGGCCATATCGAGGACGGACCCCGGTGAGAAGGTTGCCAGGGTGGTTAGAGTGATCCGTGGCGGCAGTGCAAGAGTCTTGGTTGCTTTTCTCGCCCAAAGGGAGATGGATGTCTTGCTTGAGGAAGCTGTGAAGCAGAACATGACTGGGCTGCAGTGGGTGGGCAGTGAATCCTGGATCACAGCAGGTCATTTGGCCAATGAGAGGTACTCTGCAATCCTGACGGGGTCTCTTGGCTTCACCATTAAAAAGACAAAGATCACAGGCCTGAGAGATTTTCTTCTGAAGGTCCATCCACGTCAGGACCCTCAGAATAATCTTCTGAGAGAGTTCTGGGAAGCAACCTTTAGCTGCAGTTTCCAATCCAGTCTGTACAGTCAGACCCAGTGCTCTGGCTCTGAGAGATTACAGGACATAAACAATCCTTTCACGGATGTGTCAGAGCTGAGGATATCTAACAACGTCTATAAGGCTGTGTACGCTGTGGCTCACGCTTTGCATAAAATGTTAAAATGTGGACTAAGTGGTGAAGCTGTGAACCAGACGTGCACATTGAAAGATGATTTAGAGCCAAAACAGGTATGAGATTGGCTTCATGAGTCAGGCCAATTATATATATAACAATTACAGTTCCCTATGCTTAAACTTGTTCATCACTCTTCTCTACATGTAGGTTGTAAAACATCTCCAACATGTGAACGTCACTCTTCAGTCTGGAGAAAGAGTGTATTTTGATGGGAATGGAGATCCCGCAGCAACGTACGAGCTGGTGAACTGGCAGAGAAACCAGGTGGGAGATACTGTGTTTGTGGCTGTAGGGAGCTACGATGCGTCACTACCACATGGAAAACAGTTCACCATGAATGGATTAAACATAACATGGGCTGCTGAATCCCTCAAGGTACATCAAAAGTCTAAATTGATCATTATGGGGCAGAAAGAGTGTGTGTTTTGTTGGTGGAGGATGCAGAGACAGATGTGACAGGGTATAAAGTTACGATGACAGTATTCACATGGAAATTATATGTTCATTTTGATTAATAAAGTTGCAGTTTTCCTGCTGTATAAGATTAAGAATAACATTTAAAGACCATTCCCTATGATAAATGACCTAAACTAAATACAAGTGTGACTGCAGAGTTGTGGTTTTGTTACAGAGGCCGCAGTCTGTTTGCAGTGAGAGTTGTCTGCCAGGTTTCCGACAGGCTGTGATTAAAGGTAAACCCATCTGCTGTTTCTCCTGCATCGCCTGTGCTGCTGGAGAAATCAGCAACTCCAACAGTGAGTGAAAACTTGCCTTATAATCAGTCAGTGTGTAATTTGTTATGTGAATATACATATGTGTGTGTTTGCTAGAGGCTGAGACAGCTCAAAAAAGATCATTCTGAGTAAAGCTTTGACCAAAAACCTCAAAGAAATGCTTGAAAACGTATGGATTTGATTTCTTTCCAAAGATACTTTAATACTTTAACTTTAACTTTTTTTTATTAATTATTTCTTTCTTCATTTTATCTGGTCATTAAATGCATATTTTCTCTGACAATGTGAACCTGTTTGCCATTACAGTATGAATGAGTAATTCCTTATGACTGATGACAAAATAAGTGATGTTATAGTAATTGCTATTTCAACAATAAATGTTTGGTGTAATTCAAAACAACATTTTCCTCATAAAAATGCTCTGGTTAAAAGTAAATTTGATCTAGTATGATGTATGTTTTGGATTTTTATAAATAAAATTTACCAATCAAAGCATGATAAATGTATAGAATTAGAAATGTAGATCTTATTACATTTCTTGACAGTTTCCACATCAAATGTTGTGTTTCCACCCCTAATAGTGAGAAAACAACCTCTTGGACTAGCGTTAGTTGCAATTCTAACTTGTAGCTCACATTATTAACACGTTTCACGTTTTTCATTCAGATTCTGCAGAGTGTTCACGGTGTCCGCTGGAGTACTGGTCAAACGAGGACCACAGCCAGTGTGTTCCAAAGGTGATCGAGTTCCTGTCTTATGGAGAAACCATGGGGGCCCTTCTCACTGCCTTCTCATTATTCGGAGCAAGTTTAACTCTAGTGGTGTCGGGTGTTTTCTTTTGGTTTCGTCACACACCTCTTGTCAAAGCCAGTAATGCTGAGCTGAGCTTCCTGCTGCTCTTCTCCCTGACTCTGTGCTTTCTGTGCTCTCTGACCTTCATTGGCCGGCCCTCTGAGTGGTCCTGCATGCTGCGACACACAGCTTTTGGCATCACCTTCGCCCTGTGCATGTCTTGTATCTTGGCTAAAACCATAGCGGTGGTGGTGGCCTTCAAGGCCACAAGGCCTGCGAACACAGTTCTGCAGTGTTCTGCCCCGCTTCAGAGAACCAGTGTTCTCAGCTGTACCACACTACAGGTTTTAATTTGTGTACTATGGTTAACACTTACCCCGCCATTCCCCTACAAAAACACCGCTCACGCCACTGAAAGGATCATTCTGGAGTGTGATGTGGGTTCACCTATAGGCTTCTGGGCTGTGCTGGGGTATATAGGACTCCTGGCTGTGCTGTGCCTCATTCTTGCATTTCTGGCTCGAAAGCTGCCCGATAATTTCAATGAAGCTAAATTCATCACCTTCAGCATGTTGATTTTTTGCGCAGTCTGGGTCACTTTTATCCCAGCTTATGTCAGCTCTCCTGGGAAGTTCACTGTAGCTGTGGAGATCTTTGCTATTCTGGCCTCAAGCTTTGGTTTGCTTTTCTGTATATATGCTCCAAAATGTTATATTTTAATACTGAAACCAGAAAGGAACACTAAAAAACATATGATGGGGAGAAACCAGTAAAGATCACTATGAATGAGTTGGAATAGTAAAACCATGAAGATCCAATGGTGGTTTTCAAAATTATTAAATGCAACAGTTTCAATGAATTGCCATCATCATTTAATACCTGAAAAGGTAACAAAAAACAAAAAACACTGCACTAGATTTATAAAACAGTACATTAGTAAGGGAAATACAAATGCATGATTTAAAACATCACCATATGTCTGATGAGGATGTGGTTTATTTTCCTCAGAATGCATTACCTGTGGCACATTTGATGTTGAAAAATAAAGTTTCGCTGCTGTCAAAACCTTTAGCTTCCTTTATGATCGTTTTGCTTATTTTAAAGAGAACATTTTCTTCTGCATAAATTAGTCAAGTCACCCTAAACAAGTTTCCTTGTAGTTAATGATTAGGCTTGAATGATAAAATAAAAAATGCAATACATAACAACAGCTCAGATATCCCCATGGACATGTGCAGATTTGTGAAATCCTTATTGTAAGGAGTTGGTTATGTATATGTATATAATAAATATAATTTAATATAAACATCTAATCGGTCAACATATCTGTAAGTCACACCACAGTACTGTCATGGGGGAGGAACATTCACACATGCTGCATGTTGCAAGTCCCTGAGGCTTTGAGAAACCTTATAAAATACTCAGAGTCGGTTGTTTGATCTGGGGGACTTGGGTGGTAAATACTGTGGTGAACAATGATGCTGCTGATGGCAGATCTGCTGCTTGTTTCCCTTCTGGCTGTCAGAGGAGGGAACCCTGTGTGTCAAACATACGGGACAAAAGAACTGTCTCAGTTTTCTAAGGAGGGGGACATCAACATCGGAGGCATTTTCTCCTTCCATCAGAACCCAGTCAGTGTCAGTCCAGCGCTACAAGTCAACTCAGGAATAATCCAGTGTGAAGGGTAAGGTTGCGAGAAAATGTGCTGTGCTTTAATGTCTATTTCACAGTTCTTCATTTTAACAAATTGTACATTTTTTCTTAGACTGGACCCAGGTGAGCTCCAGTATGCCTACACTATGATGTTTGCCATAGAGGAGATCAACAACAGCTCAGAGCTGCTGCCAGGCATGACGCTCGGCTACAGAATCTTTGACTCCTGCCCCAGTATCCCTCTGTCCATCAAAGCGTCACTGAACCTGATGAATAGGTATGAGAGTGGGGAAGGCAGCTGTAACAAACTCTCCAATGTGCATGCTGTCATAGGGGAAACCACATCCACCTCCACAATAGGTATCGCACGCACCATGGGACCCTTCCATATACCTGTGGTGAGTGTTGGGGGGTGCACGCCTTCTACACACATTAACTGTCAAATGAATATCTGTTGTTAAATTAGAAGTAATTTTAAATTTGAAAATGCTTTATTACATGTGTTATTCCTATCAGGTATTCATGCACTAATGATTTGCAGACATGTGTCGACAACTTGCAATTTCTCTCTGTTACTTGTGTTTCAGATCAGTCATTCAGCCACTTGTGCATGTCTTAGTAACAGGAGAGATTATCCTTCCTTCTTCAGAACCATACCCAGTGACATTTATCAGAGCAAAGCATTGGCAAAGCTTGTGAAACACTTTGGCTGGACCTGGGTTGGAGCTATAAGAACCAACAGTGACTATGGAAATGGTGGCATGGCCACTTTCCTGGAAGCAGCTGAAAAGGAAGGTGTGTGTGTTGAGTATTCTGTGGCTATTTATAGGACCGACCCAAGAAAGTGGTTCTTGGAGGTGGTTGACATTATCAAGAAATCCACCTCTAAGGTAATAGTGGCATTTGCAGATGGCACAGACCTTGACATCCTTATCAAAGAGCTTCATGCTCAGAATGTGACAGGCCTGCAGTGGGTGGGCAGTGAGGGCTGGATCACTTATCGCTACATTGCCTCTCCAGTGAACTACGCTGTGGTTCAGGGGGCTGTGGGCTTTGCGGCTCTCAACGCTCACATCCCTGGACTGCAGGAGTTCCTGTCGAACAGCAGGCCCTCCACCACACCAGGCGACTGGGGACTGGTGGAGTTGTGGGAGATGGTGTTCAGCTGCACCTTGACTCCCCAAGCAGAGGCTCACAGTCAGGGTTCAGTGGCAGCCTGCACAGGCAAGGAGTCCCTGCGGGACAGAAACACACGCTTCACAGATGTTTCAGATGCCAGTCTGATGAACAATGTTTACAAGGCCACATACGCTGTCGGTCATGCACTGCACATGCTGTTTACATGCAAAGATGGACAGGGGCCATTTGAGAATAACACTTGTGCTGACAGGGAAAATATTCAACCCTGGCAGGTAAACATATCAAACACTATTCCACCCTTAAAACCACTGTGTATATCATGTAGTTAAATAACATCACTTTGTCTCTGCAGGTGTTGCATTATCTAACCCAGGTCAATTTCACCACTAAGATTGGTGAAAATGTCTTCTTTGATGAGCGGGGAGACCCCGTGGCACGTTATGCGCTGGTAAACTGGCAGATGGATGAAACAGGATACATACTCTTTGAGACCATCGGCTACTACGACGCCTCCCGACCTGAGGGTCAACAGTTTGAGATGAAAAGAGACGTGAAAGCCATCTGGGCAGGCGAGAACCTTGAGGTAGACAGCCTTCATAATGAATTTATATAATGCCATTTTGAATTTAGATGTTTGCAGTTAGTAGTTATTAGAAGCAATTTATTGTTGCTTGGAATCATTACCATAATAACATGATGAAGTTTAATAGTTGTTTTAATGCCATCACTCTGATGCAGGTGCCAAGGTCCATTTGCAGTGAGAGCTGTGTGCAGGGGACCCGGCGAGCTTTTGTCAAGGGCAAACCCATCTGCTGTTTTGATTGCATCATCTGTGCTGACGGGGAGTTCAGCAACAGCACAAGTGAGACGGCAGGATTTGTAGCCTTTACTCTAGCGCTCGCTGTGTTTCTGTTGGGCAAAATCACTGCCGGCACTTTGCTGGTCTACCTGAAGATGTGCGTGCTGTACAGCCTAAACGTATTTATGCTTTCAGATGCAGTGAAATGTGACAAATGTCCGCCCGAGTACAAGTCCAACGCAGAGAGGAACAGCTGTGACTTGAAAGCTATTGAGTTCCTCACATTCAGGGAACTGATGGGTATACTGCTGGTCACCTTCTCTGTCTTTGGTGCCTGCCTGGCGATGACTATAGCCCTGATATTTTTCTACTTCAGACAAACTCCCATTGTCCGGGCCAACAACTCCGAGCTGAGCTTCCTGCTGCTCTTCTCCCTGACTCTGTGCTTCCTGTGCTCCCTGACCTTCATCGGACGGCCCTCTGAGTGGTCCTGCATGCTGAGACACACTGCGTTCGGCATCACCTTCGTCCTCTGCATCTCTTGTGTCCTTGGGAAAACTATAGTGGTGTTAATGGCCTTTAAAGCAACTCTTCCAGGCAGAAATGTGATGAAATGGTTCGGTCCTGCACAGCAGAGAATCAGTGTTCTGGCGTTCACTCTCATACAGGTTTTAATTTGCATTCTTTGGCTGACAATCAATCCTCCTTTTCCATTCAAAAACATGAACCACTATAAGGAGAAGATCATACTTGAGTGTGCGCTGGGATCAGCTGTCGGCTTCTGGGCTGTGTTAGGATACATCGGACTCTTAGCCATGTTGTGTTTCGTTCTTGCTTTTTTGGCTCGAAAACTTCCTGATAATTTCAACGAGGCTAAATTTATCACTTTCAGCATGTTGATATTCTGTGCAGTCTGGATCACATTTATCCCAGCTTATGTCAGCTCTCCTGGGAAGTTCACTGTGGCTGTGGAGATATTTGCCATCCTGGCTTCAAGTTATGGAATGCTGTTTTGTATTTTCTTACCAAAGTGCTATATCATTTTATTAAAACCTGAGAAAAACACAAAGAAACATTTAATGGGTAAAGTGACCTTGAGATCTCTTTAAGTTTTCTGTTATAACAACGATCTATTTCTCATCATTTTTGAACTAAAATAAATATATATATATAAACACAAACAAGACCTAGAAAGGCACTGAATTTTTTTCCTGTGAGTGTCTTGGATATATATGTTTTTCTTTGCACCTCCTATTTATTTATGGATACCTATAATTATGCATATGTTATTGAAATTTAAATAAAACTCAAATGTTACACAAAATATGCGCTCTTTTTGTGTTGCTTTCAACTGCTATGAAAATGTGTATTTCTTAACCCCTTGAATGTGAGTTTTTTTTTAAATCATATAAAAACATCAAGATGTACATGTAACAGACATGTGATTAGTTCAGAATGTGTCAGTCCCTGTATTTGATTTATGATTTAAAGTATCAAAAAGCACAAAGCCCTAATGAATATTAGCACAAAGCTAAAATACTTTGACCCACTGTATCTAAGATGAATATATGACATGATATTTCGGCCCCAAAGAAAGAATCAATGAGTTCTCGTTGGTTCATGCACACCAAATAGTTTCTGCTTGAGTCAAGCCAGTTCTGCCTCCATGTACATCTGCTAATGTAGGAACTATTATACATGCAGTGTGAGTCAAATTAGAAATATGGTCTGGGTAGACTCTGAGGAGAGAAATAGAAACTTCCGACTAGGTTACGAAAATAAAAATAAAAAGGGTTCAGTTCAGGCACAGAAGTATTTAGAAGAGCCATCAGACAACATTAGAAATACAAAGTTAGCAACCAGCTGGTGAGCACAGGAGAGTAATTGTAGATAAGGAGCCAACCAGGAGATGATGTAGTCCAAAACCGAGATTAAAAAGAAACTGAATATTGGACATGTCTGCGTGTTGTGTAAATAAACTCACACGTGTGACTGCTGACATGAAAAACAACTATGATGTTGTTTAAAGTGTGTTACACTGCCCCAAGTTGCCAAAYGTTTCAGCTGATGGAGACTGAATATTTGTACTGAAGCAGTTTTTATACAGTTGTAAGAAGGAGCCTCTCTAAAGTCACTTTTTTCAACTTTATAAGTAGAAGTTAAATTATCTGTCATGTTAAAAAACAAAAATAAATATTTAAGAATGGAGTAAAAACTGTTTTAATGTTCTTATCAGAAACACACACATACAAATATATTTAGTCTTTAGCCCTAAGCTCTCCTCATCTTTTKGCACCTCCCTCCTCCTGCCCCCCCTCGCAGGTCCAGAGTGATGAATCATCAGCTTTATAATGTTATATGCTGCTCATAAATGAATAAATACCAGTGCAAAGCGTCTGGTTCACACTGTGGCACATGTGATGCCACCAACTGTTTTATTTCTCTAAGACAGAATGACGTCCATTCAGAGATGGTCAGAAAAAGGATTGGCACTTTTAGAGCTGCTGTTGGTGGTGTCTTTCTCTCAGGCTGAAGAGCCGCTGTGCAGGCAGAGGGGGGATCCTGAGAACCCCCCACTGTTTCAGGATGGGGACATAATGCTGGGGGGAATCTTCTCTTTCCACAGCAGCTGGAAAGACAGACAGGAAACCTACAGGCACAAACCACTTCCACTGGAGTGCACCAGGTAAATTAAACTGTAGAAATCTATTATATTGAAAATATCTACTGGATGAACTGGATAACGAAAGAATTAAGTTAAGAAAAATTTAAATGATGTTGTGTGCATTGATACCATCAGAGACTTGCTGGCTGGCTACACGAAAATACAATTGCTGGATCAACTTGAAAAAATGCTTTGATTAGTAAAAAAAATGAATTGGGTTTGTTCAACTTATAGCTAGCAAGTTATATTCACACAATTCCTAATTATTATTTGAGGAAAAAACTCTTTCAATTTTTTTCAGGGTAGTGTTACTTTACTTATAACTTTTTTGCATTTAGTTTGAATTTCAGAGGGTTCCAGTTTGCCCAGGCTATGCTTTTTGCCATCGAGGAGATTAATAACACCACAGATTTACTGCCTGGCATCTCTCTGGGCTATAAAATGTACGATTCCTGTGGCTCCATCGCCAGAAGTGTGAGGGTTGCACTGGCCTTGGCTAACGGTAACGATGTTATATCTGCCTCCTCCGAAACGCCATGTACCAAACCTGCACAGGTGCAGGCCATCATGGGAGAAACCTCCTCCTCTCCTTGCATGGCTATAGCTACTGTCATCGGGCCATTTCATATCCCACTGGTGGGTACGTTTAGTAAATGTATAATACTTCTTCTTCTACATCTTTATCTTTGGAGGTCATATTCTTTTTTTCTTTTAGATCAGCCACTWTGCCACCTGCGCTTGTCTCAGTGACAAAACCAAGTACCCGTCCTTCCTCAGAACAATACCCAGTGACTACCACCAGAGCAGAGCCCTGGCCCAGCTGGTCAAACACTTTGGTTGGAGTTGGGTTGGAGCCATTAGAACCAATGATGATTAYGGAAATAACGGCATGGCTACATTCACAGAAACTGCCCGACAGCTGGGCATCTGTCTGGAGTACTCTGTGTCTTTCTTCAGAACAGACCCGCCCGACAAAATACTAAAGATAATTAACCTCATCAAAGTTTCCACCTCTAAAGTGATCGTCGCTTTCCTCTCTSMCTTGGATATGGATGTGCTGATACATGAGCTGTCCTACCACAACCTGACTGGGTACCAGTGGGTGGGCAGCGAGGGCTGGATCTTTGATTCCCAAACTGCAGAAATGAATAGGCATCACATCCTGGATGGTGCCATAGGCCTGTCCATCCCAAARGCACATGTCAGGGGCATGAGAGAGTTCATACTGARTRTGAAGCCGCTCCATTCGTCCAGTAATGAAATGTTTACAGAGTTCTGGGAGGCTTTATTCAGCTGTAAGTTCAAACAGTCGACAGGGAACCAGAGAGAATGTACTGGACATGAAGATCTGACCCATGTGCACAACAGCTTCACTGACATGTCACTCATGCCGATATTTAACAATGYCTACAAAGGAGTTTATGCCGTGGCTCATGCTCTTCATAGCATTCTTGGCTGTAATGAAACATGTAACAACAAAGTGCAGCTTAATCCATTCACTGTGAGTTCTTACACAAGAGATAAGGCTTCCAATGTTTTTTATAAGCAGCCTCTCTGTGCTGCTGTTGAGCCAACAGACAGCAGATGTTCATGAACTAAAACATGATCTGTCTTCTATAGATTTTACAGCGCATTAGAAGAATTCAGTTCAAAACAAAGGAAGGAGAGGAAGTTTACTTTAATGAGGATGGCGACCCAGCAGCAAAGTATGAAATCATAAACTGGCAACGAGCAGAAAATGGCTTTGTGGAGTTTGTCACAGTTGGTCTTTATGATGCATCTTTACCTGCAGACAAACAGCTGAATCTGCAAAATACATCTWTAATCTGGACACAGAACTCAAAACAGGTCAGTATATACCTGCAGTATAGTTGTGTAATTGCATWAAAATGAATACAAGTGAACGCACATGTATTTCCTCAAGTCATTTTCTTCATGCAGGTGCCTGTGTCAGTTTGCAGTGAGAAATGTCCCCCAGGAACCAGGAAGGTTCTCCAGAAAGGAAAACCTGTCTGCTGCTTTGACTGTATAAGATGTGCAGAGGGAGAAATAAGCAACGTTACAGGTCTAGTGATATTCAATGCATGTTTGTTTAGTTGTTTTCACTCTGCTCCACAAAACAAAGTTGTCACCATCACATACTAATCTTAAAAATTGGCATATTTATGTTTTCTCATCTTCAAAATAGGGAAGGTTTCCTGGGGAATCAACTGTGGAGAATTTTATTTTCAAATCATGTGAATTTAACATATAAAAAAAAGAAAAGACAGTTGCTATATGTGGTTAATGTCAGGGACATTACACATAATCACATCAAAATGAAAACTGAACCACTCACTTCTTTACCTTTGCGGATTTATTCTGTTTATATCTACACTCTCGTACAGTTGAAAGCTTAAAACCAGAGTAAGCTGGCAGAGTGGTGTAGTTTATTCATAACCTGACATTAGCTGTTTACTTCTGGCCATTGTGTTTAGTTTTAATCAAAAATCAAAACAGGGTCATATTTTAAGTTGTTTGAAAGTCATGGTAAAATCCCTTTAACTTTTTGAGGGAGATGCTAACTTCCTGGTTGGCCAACAAATGCATCATCCCTGCAACAYTTAATGCACTGGATCACTAATGATCATATACCACAGGAGCTGTCAGTTATCCATTTATTATCAGTAATAATGTAGTGTATGTCTTTGTGTAAATGCATTAAGAGAACAGTAAAATGAAACTCATCCTCTCTGCAAGTCACACCTGCKTTAATACTTTTTAGATTCCGTCTCCTGTGTGCGATGCCATCCTGAATTCTGGTCAAATGAGAGAAGAGACGCCTGCGTGAAGAAGGAGGCAGAGTTTCTTTCGTATGAAGAAATTATGGGAGCGCTGCTCACCGCGGCGTCCCTGTTTGGAACATGTATGACCRTAGTTGTGGCACTCATCTTTTTCAGAAACAGGAAAACTCCCATCGTCAGGGCCAACAACTCCGAGCTGAGCTTCCTGCTGCTCTTCTCCCTGACTCTGTGCTTCCTGTGCTCCCTGAGCTTYATYGGCCRGCCCTCTSAGTGGTCGTGCATGCTACGACACACTGCGTTTGGCATCACCTTCGTCCTCTGCATCTCTTGTGTCCTTGGGAAAACCATGGTGGTGTTGATGGCCTTCAGGGCGACACTTCCAGGCAGTAATGCGATGAAATGGTTTGGTCCTGCACAGCAGAGGATCAGTGTTCTGTCATTCACTCTCATACAGGTTGTTATATGCATCTTATGGTTGACACTTTCTCCTCCCTTCCCATTCAAGAACTTTAAAGAATTCAAGGACAAAATCATCCTGGAGTGTGCGCTGGGCTCAGCTTTAGGATTCTGGGCCGTACTTGGGTATATCGGGATTCTCGCCATTTTATGTTTCATTCTTGCTTTTCTGGCGCGGAAACTACCTGATAACTTTAACGAAGCCAAATTCATCACTTTCAGCATGTTGATATTCTGCGCAGTCTGGATCACTTTTATTCCAGCCTATGTCAGCTCTCCTGGGAAGTTCAGTGTTGCCGTGGAAATATTTGCTATTTTGGCCTCCAGTTTTGGACTCCTCATTTGTATTTTTATTCCAAAATGTTATATTATCTTATTGAAACCAGAGAAGAATACAAARAAGAATATCATGGGGAAGGTGACACGGAAATAAATAGAATGGAACACAGTAAAGCACGTACCTCCAACAAGACCCAATAGTCCCCTTAAATTCAGTCCAGCTGAACCAACTCTTAGATATTAGTCTCCTTAATTCCCTTGGAAATCATTGAAAATGTCTGGCAATGTTAAGAAAGTGAAAAAAAAAAATTCTGGATCAGCCTCCTGTATCCACACAAACATTTAATGGGTTCTTTCTTGACCCATACTGCTTATTTTCACCAAGTTTCACTTAAATCCATCTGGTAGTTTTAGTGTAATCTTGCTCACAAACAAGCAAAAGCAATAATCTAAAGTGTGGTGGCAAAAGTGTAATAATGGAATTAAAGTCTCTAGGTAATAACTATCAAATAAACACCTGTATTCATTTTACTCAAGACTTTTATTGTACCTTTCTGTTGTATGTCATTTAATTTGCATTTGATTTGATAGTAAGTACAAATAAATGCAGAGGATACATTATTCCCTGCTGATTTCCAAAAGTTTAATTCAGTTTGCAAAGTGAAATCAAAACAATAAAATCTACATTTTCACTGACAAAAACATTCTGTGCTTTACTCATTTGGCATCGTCTCCTGAGGCTAGAGTTCAACTCCCCCTTGTTGTTGAAGGTGTATAAAGCCCTGCCCTGAGACGCAGGGCTGGTTGACCTGGCCTGCAGTGGAGCGGAGCTATGCCTTTGTTCAGGCTGCTCCTCTCGGTTCTGCTAATCGGGAATGGAGCTGCCGTGTGCCGTCTGCAAGGCTCCGCACAACCGCCTGAACTGGCCCAGGATGGCGACCTTGTTCTGGGAGGCATCTTTTCTTTTCGCACAGGGCAGGATTATGTAACTAACACATTTCAGACACTTCCAGATGTACGAAAGTGCAAAAAGTATGTATGGTTTGCCCTGTATATAATATGCCTCATGTGTCTGTATGTTTGCCACTGTATTTGAGACTGTAACACACTGATCAATTATTTCACACTGTTTCTTTCTCACCACCTCAGCTTCAATTTCAGGGAATTCAAATTTGCTCAAGCCATGATCTTTGCTATAAATGAGATCAACAGAAATCCTGATATGTTGCCGAACGTCACACTCGGCTATAGGATCTATGGTGACTGTGGGACCATGGACATACTGAGAGCTGCACTGACACTGGTGAGTGGAGTGAATAAGGAAGTCAGTGACGACAACTGCACTCAAGAGGAGATGGTGCAGGCTATACTGGGACATTCAGGTTCAAAACCAACTATTGCATTTCAACAAGTGGTTGGAAGGTTTCATGTTCCTGTGGTAAGTGAAATAAAACAGATGAATAAAGTGTTGTGTTAGATAATGTTAATTGTGCTGCTGTAAACTTACTCTGGTCTGCAAAATTTTAACTATAATATAAATTTGAATGGTGAATCTGCCAAACCATTAAATGTATGTTGCATGTCTTCCACTCACATGTTTGTTTTTCACCACAGATCAGCCATTTTTCCACCTGTGCCTGTCTGAGCAACAGAAAACGATATCCCACCTTCTTCAGAACGATTCCCAGTGACTACTACCAGAGCAGAGCCCTGGCAAAGCTGGTCAGGCTCTTCAGTTGGACCTGGATCGGGGCTATAGCTGTGGATAACGAATATGGCCACAATGGTATAAATGCATTTATCCAAAGTGCACAAGAATACGGCGTCTGCATTGAGTATTCTGAATCATTTTCATCGTCAGGTCCTCCTGAAAACCTACAGAGAATAATAAAGATCATTAGGCATGCCACCTCCAGAGTTATTGTAGCATTTATGTCTCACAGAGAAATTAAGTTGTTGGCAGCAGAGTTGTACCAGCAGAATCTCACGGGGCTTCAGTTTGTCGGCAGCGACGCTTGGATCACAGATCACTCTCTGACAGACATTGAGGGGCACAGCATCCTGGAGGGCTCCCTGGGCTTCACCGTGAGCCGAGCTCAGATCCCGGGGCTGGAGGAGCACCTGCGGCGGCTCCACCCCTCACAGTTCCCCGACAGTCAGTTTGTCAGGGATTTCTGGGAAGACGTGTTCGACTGCTCTCTGAATGAAAGTGCAAACACACAGAGAAAGTCATGCAGCGGCTCTGAGAGCCTGCAAAACGTAGAATCTCAATTCACCGATGTGTCCGAGCTGAGATTCACTAACAATGTGTACAAGTCAGTTTATGCAGCCGCTCACGCTCTCGACAACCTGATTAAATGTGAGAATGGCAAAGGACCCTTTGCCTCTGGGAGCTGTGCTGATATCAAACACATTCAGCCTTGGCAGGTGAGAAAGCTTCAGCTCTGAGTGTCAGTGTGATAACATCATGAATCTGTTTTGTAATTTTATAATTTCTAAATTCTAGGTAGTGCAGTATCTCAGCACTGTGAATTTCACCACCGGTGAGGGGGAGAGAGTATTTTTTGACAAAAATGGAGACTCACCAGCAAGATATGAACTCATTAATTTGCAAATGGCAAACAAAGGAACTATGAAGGGGGTCACAGTTGGACTTTATGATGCTTCTCTTCCAGAGAGTCATCAGTTCATAATGAACAACGTCCCTGTTGTCTGGGGACACAGGCTCACAGAGGTAAAGGAGGGTTAGATTCTTTAACTGTGTCCTGATTTACTGAAAACTGCTCCAAAAGCCTTTATATGGATTCATAAGTTGACTTTCTTCTATTGTTGATGTGAACTTTGGATGTGTAGGAGGTGCCTGTGTCAGTGTGCAGTGAGAGCTGTCACCAGGGAACTCATAAGGTCCTCCAAAAAGGACGACCAATCTGCTGCTATGATTGCATACCCTGTCCTGCAGGAGAGATCAGTAATTCAACAGGTAAATGCTGTTTACAACTGCAGACAAATGATCTGTGTATGTAGAGAAAGAGACCCTCACAAATACAACTGTTAAAACACATTTCTCTGCATTCTTTTCATTTTGCAGATTCAATACACTGTATGAAATGCCCACCAGAATATTGGTCCAATGACCAAAGAGATTCCTGCATCGCCAAAACAATAGAATTCTTGGCATATGATGAAATCCTGGGAACACTGTTGGTCGTATTTTCATTAGTGGGAGTTTTTTTAACAGTGATCACAACACTTGTCTTCTACTGCCACATAGAAACCCCGCTAGTACGAGCCAACAACTCCGAGCTGAGCTTCCTGCTGCTCTTCTCCCTGACTCTGTGCTTCCTGTGCTCCCTGACCTTCATCGGACAGCCCTCTGAGTGGTCCTGCATGCTGAGACACACTGCGTTCGGCATCACCTTTGTCCTCTGCATCTCCTGTGTCCTGGGAAAAACTATAGTTGTGTTAATGGCCTTCAGGGCGACACTTCCAGGCAGAAATGTGATGAAGTGGTTTGGTCCTGCGCAGCAGAGGATCAGTGTTCTGGTGTTCACTCTCATACAGGTTGTGATTTGCATTCTTTGGCTGACGATCAATCCTCCCTTTCCTTTTAAGAATCTGTATCTCTACGAGGACAGAATCATATTAGAATGTGATCTCGGTTCAGCTGTCGGCTTCTGGGCTGTGTTAGGATACATCGGACTCTTAGCCATGTTGTGTTTCATTCTCGCTTTTTTGTCTCGAAAGCTTCCTGATAATTTCAACGAGGCTAAACTGATCACCTTCAGCATGTTGATATTCTGTGCAGTCTGGATCACATTTATCCCGGCATATGTCAGCTCTCCTGGGAAGTTCACTGTGGCTGTGGAGATTTTTGCCATCCTGGCCTCCAGCTTTGGACTCCTATTCTGCATTTTCCTGCCAAAATGTTTTATAATCATGTTTAGACCTGAGCACAACACCAAGAAACACATAATGGGAAAGACATCAAATAATGATATACATTATTGATCTATGATTTATTTATGTATTTATTGATTGGTTTTAAACGTTTTTACTTTTGCAGCAGTTATTTTCTTATTAAGTGTAATAAATATTTAATCATACTAAAATGATTTCCACATATTCATACTCCAACTAAAGTAAGAACGGGGGAGACACCTCCAACTATAAAACAGTGTACAATAATCATAATAATACTTATAATAAAACAGTTCTGCCCCTATTCTTTACATCTAAACATAAGTAGTGTCACACTATAATCAAATAAAAACGTTGAAATGTCATTGAATTGAATTTTCACTCCCACACATGCACTAAACTAAATGAGCAAACTCAGAAACACAAGCGTTCCCCTGAATAAATGACGGAAATCAATACAACAGCTAAACTGAATGAAGCAGCATAAATATGGGAAAAGAATGATTAATAAAGTTCTCAAATACACAAAACAAAGAACAAATTAAAATACATGCTTGGAGTGAAAGTCCCAGAGTAAAGATGTTGTAATACAGTCTCACTTCAACAAACTGGGAGTCAGTTTGTTTGATTGTCTTTCAGATTCTCAAAACTGAAACAAAGCTAAACCCTCATCCTTCTTCTTATTCTACCTGATTAACACCCACAGCTGCACCTCTCCTAAGGTTTTACAATCTGACATCCAAAGACAATTTGAGAACCTAAAATTCAACTATAGTTAATATACAGGGGAAGTGACGGGGAAATAAATGAATACAGCCTTACTTGGGATTCCAAGATGTATGTAGTTCCCAGTATAGAAGAAATCGAGTGACTGCAGTTCACCATTGTGACCAAAATTAGGTTTAAGATGAGGTAAGGTGATAGGATGCTGAAAATGTGCTCATGTTGGGTTTAATAATGACTTTAATGTTTGGGAATGTGGTTTTAAATTACACAAGATCAGGTCAGGATTCACCAGAATGAATAACAACACTCTTACCTGAAGCCAAAACTGCTACAAACATATCACAACATGAAATGACCCCAATGATCCCCGAGCTCAGAGCAAATATCAATGTGTAAATGTGTAACTGCTTAACTCTATATTATATTATTATAGAACTAATTAAATAAGTTTCTAGTGAGTTGCAATAAAGCATGAGGCCTCTAGACCCAGAATTCCCCCGACATGTAAAACAATATTTGACACTGTTACAAGTTCACACAAACACTGATGCAATACGACAAAAACAAGTCTTACACATGTACACAAAAAACAAAGTTGAAAAAAGGCTAAGACGAGTTCTCATCTGTTGTGCACATGATGTTATTACCCAGGAGTTTGACTCCTGTGAGAAAACAAAGGATCCACTGGGCTCTGTAATGCAAACACAACAGATTGCTTCATCAGGAACAACAGGTGTCTTGTTTCCTCAAGCAGAAAAAGTCTTCATTAATCAACACCTTTGTCACAACATGTACATGTTCAATTTCAATTGATTAAGGGTTTGTTGTGATCTCTCTCTGACGGCCTCTTTATTTGTTTCCTCTGCTGTGACCTCAGGATGAAGTCTGCAATTCTTTGGTCCGTTACTTTTCTGAATCATCGGTTATACTTTTCAAAAAGTAATCATGTTAATGTGAGGAATTTGTTTCTGATTATTGTCAACCTTAGAAGAGCATGGAGGCCCGAAATCTCCATTGTGTTTCACTGTGTGTTAATTTTCAGCAATATAATGATAGAAAATGTCCAGATACAGAAGCCAGGCCGGCATTAAACTATTTTATTAACACGTAACCACTAAATTGTCTTTGTTTTTTAAATTAAATTCAGCTTCACCAGCCATCTCCTGATTACATGACTGAGTTTGTTTTCTGCTTCTTCAGGGTAGATTTACTGACAGAAAATATAGGAACGTCCTGTTCACGTTCACTCTCAAAGTTTCCCAGTACAACCACAGACTCAGCTGCTGGTTACTGAGCAGCTCCACTGAAATTTTACTATTTTGTTTAAGGACACCACTGTGATGTTGATGACAGAGGGGGAACTCTGGATGTCACTTTCCTCCAACCCAAGAAAGTCCTGCCAGTCTGAGGTTTGAGCTAGTGCAGTCCGCTTCTCTGGCCTTTATTCCACCACTGACCTCATGATCACAGTTTTTAATGTTTTCATGTTTTGTGTATGAACTTTCTCTCACAGACCCAACAGAATGCCGCTGCACATCTGTGCTGATGACAAATAAACTGAATAAATCACTCGTTGATTTTTAATTGTTTCTGCTTCAGAATGATAAATGATGTGCTGTCAGGTTGTCTTTGTTTATTATGGCAGTGAAAACGGGATCAACCATGGTCAGGATCAACTATCAAATGGATATATTACATAGAGCAAATACAGCATCTACATTGTCAAATGTTCAAATTATTTTAAAATTGTCCAAAATTTGTCCAAAGATATCCGATTTTTTTGTTGTTTCTAGACATTGAACTATTAAAAGAGAAGGCTACAATCATTCAGATAAAACTATAATGGCACTGAGCAGAGAGAAAACCCCTTGCAAGGCTCAACAGTTCCCTAAAATTCAATCAAGCTGTGAATGACACACACTCAAACTGTCCACTCCCTACATTTGTCGGATTTCTTTCATCAAGATCAGGAATTATCCTGTAAACAGTGAAAATATTTTTTAAAACTGTTCTTGAAATATTAAATATATTTAAAAAATCCTAGATCCGCCCCTTGATCTACATCCAAGCAAAATAATGTATAATTGTTTCTTCTCTGACTCATAACATATTTTTCCACTAAGCTTTGAGGAATTCTGTTTAGTTGTTTTTTTGTAAACTTGTTCACAATCACACAAATCAACCCATGAACAAATAGACTGGTGGGAAAACATAATTGACAGAGTTAATAAATCTGTTTTATTTACCCAATTATATATACCAATACATATAACCAACATTGCTGTTAATTGACTACTGTTGTTTCATGGGGTTCATTAAATAACTATGTTAAGACCTGAAGATTTGCTCAGATTTGAGATGTGGCCTGAAGCTACTTCCATAGTAAAAGCAAAAGTAAACAATATATATTTGAGCGCATACCTACTACATGACACTCTATTACTGTACATACCACATCCATCTTTTCCCAGGGGGCCTTTCCACTCAGATCTCTGCATGGATATGAATTTGATCATGCATATGCAGGGTATAAAGGGTGCAGTGGGGGACAGTGCTGAAGAAGCCAGCCTGCAGAGGGAAGCCATGCCTCTGCTGAAGCTCATCCTCCTGGTTTTTCTGATCAAGGGGGGGAATCCTCTGTGCCGGCTGCAGGGGACTGTGCAACCCCCTGAGCTTACCAAGGCTGGAGACTTCACATTAGGTGGCATTTTCACCTTCCGCACTGGCTACAGGGGCAGTGTGCCCACATTTCACACCTCACCCCCTCCTCCAAAGTGCCTGAAGTAAGTATGTGTTTCTGTGTTTGAAGTTTGATATTGTTCTCTGATGTGCTTTCTTGCTTAAATCATTCTAAATACTTTTTTTTTTTCTAGCATCAATGTAAGAGAATTCAAATTTGCCCAGACTATGATCTTTGCAATCGAGGAAATAAATCAAAATCCTGCTATTCTCCCAAACCATACACTGGGCTACAAGATATATAATTCCTGTGGGATGACAAACATCATCAAGGCTGCTATAGATTTAACCAACGGGCACAGAGAGATCATAGACGAGAGGAACTGTACCAAGGCTGACACTGCCCTGGTTGTACTAGGACACTCTGCGTCTGCACCCACCATGGGATTCGCTCGGGTTATAGGACGATTTCACATACCAGTGGTAAAGATTGACCTTTATTCCTTGAGTCTCTGTAAAATCATTAATCTTTGAATCACTGTCAAATGGTTGTGGAAATGTCTAACTCTACCTTTTGAATAATAGAGATGCTTTCTTCATATGTGGTATATGACATGTATAGTGAAGTTTTTTTTATTATTATTTTGTAACAGATAAGCCACTTTGCAACCTGTGTGTGTCTGAGCAACAGAGAGGAGTTTCCATCCTTCTTCCGAACCATTCCCAGCGATCTCCACCAGAGCCGAGCGTTAGCAAAGCTGGTCAAGTTCTTCGGCTGGACCTGGGTGGGGGCGATAAGTAATAAAAATGACTACGGCATCAACGGGATCACTTCATTCATACACGCTGCGCAGGAAGAGGGGGTGTGCATTGAGTATTACCAGGCCTTTGAGCAGACAGGTTCTCTCCGCGAGTTGACGAAAGTGGTTGAAACTGTGAAGCACTCCACCTCCAAAGTCATTGTGGCCTTCATGTCGCACAGAGAGGTTAAAGTGTTGGCAGCAGAGTTGTACAAGCAGAACATCACAGGGCTGCAGTTTGTCGGCAGCGACGCCTGGATCACAGATAACTCTCTGGCCGACAGTGAGGGACACAGCATCCTAGAGGGCTCCCTGGGCTTCGTCGTCAGCCGAGCTCAGATCCCGGGGCTGGAGGAGCACCTGAGGCGGCTCCGTCCCTCACAGTTCCCCAACAGCCGGTTTGTCAGAGACTTCTGGGAAGAGACGTTTGACTGCTCTCTGGGTAACACAAACACACAAAAGAAGCTGTGCAGCGGCTCAGAGAGCCTGCAGAATGTTGAAACATATTTTACAGATGTTTCAGAGCTGAGATTCACAAACAATGTGTACAAGTCGGTTTATGCAGCTGCTCATGCTCTGCATAACCTGGTCACGTGTGAAGAGAAGATGGACCCTTCCTATAATGGCAGCTGTGCCGATCCCAAACACATTGAACCATGGCAGGTGAGGAAGAAAACAATTATTGAGCTTTAATATCACTTGTTTTATTGTCCCATAAATACTGTGGGCAAGAGCCACTGCAAATTAAAAGAACACATGCAAATAGAAAAACAACTTCATCAACACATTCACTCTCTCTGCCAACGTTTACATAACAATCAAATTATACAGAGAACAAGAGAAATTTAATCTCAGTCTCTCCTCCCTTGTCTTGACAGGTGCTTC